GAATAATTTGTGTAATGGGGCCAGTTCATGACGATATGAGTTCTTTAGTAGTAGCGCAATTATTTCCTTCAGGTCTATAATTAATTAAGCATGTTCTATAAGTCTTGAAAACAGGGGAAAATAAAGTTTGGTCTTTCAGTCAGAAAGCAGTACAAAACCTATTCACATGTATATTAACTCACCTGGAGGATCAGTGACTGCTGGTTTAGGGATATATGATACAATGCAATATGTTAAGCCGCCAATTGCCACTTGGTAAGCTTTATTACTAACAATATTTTGTTTTTTTAAAACTAGACTTTCTAAAACATGTTTCGTATAAAAGCTTTCTCGATAAAATCCATGAATTAGTAATTATGCAAGGGCTGCATACTAAACAATAGAATTTAATAATGAAATACAAAATATTTCACCTCTATTCAGGTGTGTAGGACAAGCCTGTTCAATGGGTTCTCTCCTGTTAGCCGCTGGTGCACCAGGTATGAGACATGCTCTTCCGCATTCTCGAATCATGATACACCAGCCATCTGGTGGTGCTACTGTAAGTTTAGACGCTATAAATAAATCCACATATTTTATTTTGCCCTAAAAATATCTAATTAATTTATTAAGGGCCAAGCTACAGATATTCAAATCCATGCTGAAGAGATAATAAAATTAAAGAAACAATTGACATTAATATATGCAAAGCATACTGGACAAAATACTGAGCTTTTGCATAGCAAAATGGAACGTGATACATTTTTATCTCCGGATGAAGCGAAGGCAATGGGTTTAATAGATCAAGTTTTAGTGCATGCGCCTTCCACGATTACAAAGGGAAGTGCACCAAGTACAGATGCTCCAAATCCTATTATTATGCCTAAAGATAAAGAACCTTCTATTGGACAGAAATTACTACATAATTAGAAACCTAATATATACAATGATATTAAATAATTTGTATATACATTTTTATATGAAATTATTTATATTACAAATAGTTTATAAAATATATTTTATGCAAATTATGGAAACCACATTCAGGATATTTGAATTGACTAACTGAGTAAAGTACTATTTTTATAGTTTTTGTATATCATTATTAAATTTTATTGTCTAATATGCAGCTATTACATAATTACAGATTCATGGATTGAACATACAATTATAAACAAATATCTCAAAATTTCAATTACATCATAAAATTTATATAATGGCAAAAGCTTTGATATGAAACTTTAGAAAAAATAATTTGATGAACACTTTGCAGTTTTTTAATCAATGAAACTGGGAAAACGAATTTTATACACACTTCGACATTTTTTAATGGGTAATTAAAGTTTTTAGAACAGATTTTATAATGTGAAATTAATATTCAATGAGAGTAACGATAGACGGTTTCGAAAATAGTATTAAAATACATTGTAATAATTGATTTATATTATTTTCTAAATTCGCGCCAACTATCGAATGCTGTCATGTTACTGAATTTCAAATAGATTTTAAATTAGTTTCATTTGGTAACACATTTCATTATGTAACTAGGTTGGAATTATGAAATTTGGAAAAACATTTGCTGGTCGACACTCCGAAAAGATATATGTTTGTGGAATGTAGCTGAGTCGACGTCGCATGTGAGTAATTTTTTGTTATATAGTCTTTATTTCATGTTATTTGGATTTATTGTCAGTTCCAATAGTTTATATATGATATTCATATTTTATTTGCTATTATAATTTTAACTTAAAAATATTTGGGATAGTATAACGCGTGATAGATATAGTACGTTCGTATTAAAATAATACTTCTTGAGCGGATTGCCACGATAAATGTACAAATACAAATGCATATATTTTTTCGTTATAGTTAAATTTTTTTTTTGAATTTTTTTGATCTTCAATTACAAAATTTGAGTCATTGATCGAGGCTACTAAACGTTGCGCCACATTTTCGAGGAAATCGTACGGTTCTTTTTGAGAAAAAACAAAATAAATTTTATATGTGACTTATATGCGCTTATGTCGTGTTGTTTAATAACGACATAAAGTAATTATTCCTCTTTTTGTCACAAATTATATGCAATATAATTATAATTTTTACGACCAATTATGTTAAATTGATCTGAGTAACACTGGGATACTATTTCGGGCCAGTGATGGCAAAGGGTAAGGGAAATATCCTTTCATTGCAATTTAATGACCATTTGTAGTTTCACTAAAATTTTGTGTAACTACACATATTTCAATACTTCTAGTATAATTTCAAGCATTTAAACTGCTTTATTACAATTTATTTCAAAATATTTATCAGGTTTCGCACAAGAGAAAATAATGCTTTCGTAAGAAAATTCGACTTGCTAATTTTTTGTTTCAAGTCATTTTGAATCATTTGAGATACATATTTGGAAAAATTATGTGCGAGTGTGTACGTGAGCCTATTTTCGACTTTTTGTTGACGTTTTCTCCAAAATTTTTGAACCAATTTATAAAAATGAAAAGCTATTCGATAGCTGAAATGGACACTTAAATTCAAATAGCTAAATTTCACTTCTTCTTGATTATTCACACATATCCAGAAGATTTTTAAACAAGTCTTACTTTACTTGCACTGATTTACTTTAACGTTTTATCATTTCAATTTTACAAATCTTGCTTCAAAGTACTTCCTATTGTTGTAATAAATTTCGACGTTTATTGAGCATCTATCCATATAACAGTTAAATGATTATTGTTTATATGGTGCAAAGTAAAAAACTTTGTTTTATAAATAAATATTTCGTCCCCGGCCGTGCATTTGACCATCTATTACCTCACCGGCGACATAGTTGCCGAAGAAGTCGACAACGAGTAACCAGAAAAAACAAAACAAAATAGCCCCTCCGAAAGAAATCCGACCATTATATAATACTTTTTGCATCATAAAATGTGGCCCGGAACAAAAAAGTAACAGGCGTAATAACCAATAAATCTTTATTAATAATAATAAAATATAATAATAATAAATAATATAAAAAGCGTACACGTATAGTACCGTTAAAGAATTCCTTCCTAAGTGTCTTCTCTTATGCCTACCATATTATAATGCCCTTAGGTCTTTCGAATCAAGGATATTTTGCTTTTGATTCGATGTTGATCAATACACTTGCCGGATCGATTTGGGACAGTAGACCCGCTTGCTATTTTTGGGATCATCTTAAAAAATGCAAATCAATTGAAAATGCATACTTGTAAAGATAAATAAATTCCTAGACCAATCCATGAGAATCTCATTGTTGCTATCTTTCGATCATTTCACAGGCCATTTTTATCTTATTAACCATACAACGGCTAGTTTTATGTTTTCGCCAGATTTGCTAATTTCATGTTTTCTTGATCATTCTGGCCATTCTGGATCATTTGAAATCAAAATAGGCAAAAGTGTGAGTGTGCGTAAATGAACCAAAATTTCAGGTTTTGTCGACGTTTTCTAGAGAAATAAAAAAAACCAATTTTACGTTTTTAACAGTTTTTTGGTACACTATTGTGGAATGAATCTTTATATTATTTCTATAAATTTCTATAACATTTCTATAACTAAAATAACTAAAAATTACGGGTAGTGATTTTTTGCATATATATGTTTTTTATATATATCACCAACTAAAACCTCAGCCTATCTCTTGCCTATTGTTTTCAAGGAAACCGTCGTTATGCATTTCTTACTAGGGGAGGCTCTAGAATTTTATGATTTCCACTCTTAACCGTACTTTCGTCCTAGTTGTTGATATTTCTTCTTTTTTCGAAGAACGCAAGTCTATGAGAACTTCTATACTATAATGAATATGTCCAAATATGTATATATATAACCATATATTGTCTTTTGAGAATTCACATATCGCGGTTTATACGTTATGTTTTTCTTCCATTTTTTTTCTGCGGCGTTAACGAATCATAAGCACCGCGCGAACATTGCTGACCCCCCGAAGTTCATCAGTGATTCAACAGACGTCCGTCTTCGTGAAAATGCTAATGTTTTCAAAGAATTTCGTTGAGATGCACTGCACTCGCAGTCATTTTGTATATGGCAGTGCAATTAGAAACATTATTCCTCGAAATACACAATATAATAAAGGACATTATACACGGAAAGCGTAATGGTCTGGAAACAACATTCAATTTGATACTGATTCATTACTATAGTATTATAATACTACTCAAAAACAGTTTTTAAGAAGAAAAACGTGGAAGTAATTGAAATATAAAGAATGCCTCCTCGTACTTATTTTTAAACCAATTTTTCTAATTATATTTCGTAATTGAGCACATAAAAGCATATTTTTATTTATTTCGATATGGGATGGGTCAGCGACCCGTGTGTGCGGTTCTCACCACCGAAAAAAATCAAATCAAGAAAAAAGACAAGTAAAGACCAAAAAGGAGAGCTCGCAGGAGAGATAGTCGTTCGATAAGTGCGCGAATGTTAAGCAAAGAGAGCGCTTAACTCTTAACGCCGAAAATGTCATCGGACCAAAAAATTAGGTGCATGTTGTCTTCGAATTCGATTTTCAATAATCATGTAGTTGATTATATTATTATTGTTAACAGCAATCTGATCTTACAACTCCTATAGGCTGGTTGTGATAACTTCCTAATAATATAGCTTTTTAGAAGGTAACACAACGGTGCGCTTTTATATTGTTGATGAATTTAATATTGCAATTTTTGTAATACTAATGATGATTTTATTGATGTCGCAGTAATGCCAGGGAAGAGCTTTTGTCATTTAGGAACAGTTTATTTCCTTATTTCCAAGTAAAAACCCTACTGCTTGGCATCACTTTTGTCTAAGGCAGGTATCGAATCTAATATTTGTGGTTGGAAGTCGCAGAAAAGCCCATGTTTTTGATAATGCAGAATTTCATATTAATTCAAATAAATCTAAAATGTTAATATTTTTATTGGTGTTTTTTCAAACCTCTTGGTTCATAACTTTTGACGTGACCTCATTTAAGTGTTGTTTTTTGTTTACATTTATACTTAAAGTTCCATCAGTGTTATTTTATCTATTTATTAACTTTCCGAAGAAGAATTATTCCGATTTGCTAATTTTATTTCTTCTCTAAGTTTCAACACGTTCTGAACCGTTTAAGACCAAAATTGTAAAATGTATATGTGCCTAAAACTGTTTAATTTTTTTTTGTTGATAGTTTCTGAAAAACTTTACATTCGAAAAGCAGCAAATGAAAATTTTACCTAAATAGCCAAAATGTTTGTTCTTATTAAGTCGATTATTTCATATTAGTTTTATTGATGTTGTCGAATATGAATGAAGAGTCTAAGTTATAGTTAAAAGCGTTTTATTTACAGATCTGTTACACATAAATATTTTAAACATATAAACTTTGCTTTCACATATAGAATAATTCTACATTACTACAATGTTGTACACACAATATATACTCGAGGGATCACATTATTATCTTATATCGCTTTAATATATAAATACTATCATTATTATCAGGAATCGGCATCGATGCTGTGGATTCTGATAATATAAAATATTATAGAATATAAATCTTTTTATAACGGGTAAAATACAGATATTTTTGCGGTGAGAACGCAATACAATTCAATAATTCATACGTGGAAGTACACAATATCTTTAAACAACTGCCGCATCAAGCATACTAATAATAATTAAAACTTATTCATCTTTTCATTTAAACGAATTACAAATATTCTAGATTAAGTGTAATTATATAATCATATATTTTTTATGATTTGCTTTGAGATTAATGAAATTATAATTATAAATAATGCAAGATCAGTTTTATAGTTATCAGATTAGTTTTCAATATATTATTTCCATTTCAATAATAATAATTTGTTTTATATTTTAAAAGTAAAGTATTATTAAGTCATAAACATTCTTTTTAACATCACATAACA